ACACAAAAATCAGTTGGATTGCTCTACACTAACAGAGAACGCTGAAAAGGAAAACAATACCATTTACCATAACCACCCAAAAGATAAGGTACTTAGGAATGAATCTAACCAGAAATACAAAAGACCTATACAAAGAAAACTACAAAACACTACTTTAAGAGACCTACATAAATGGAAGAATATAAGACTTCCAGTAATATGGAGGAATAGGTGGACAAGTGATACAGATTCTCTTCAACAAAGAAAAGAAAAACCAATTGACAGAGATACAGAATATAATCCTGGAACCCTGAGCTTTGAAAGGAACTATACAGAAGTGGATTAGGCACCAACTAGTGGAAAAACCTAAACAAAAGCAGTGAGTACAGAGGTTGTCGGAGCTGTGGACTGTCAGCTACTCTGACAAGACCAACAGCCTGAATATTTCCAAGTGGTGTTAGGACCTGAGAATTGACCTAAAGATCAGCCCTGGTCACCAAGGGCTGCAGGGACAACTGCTCTGGAGGCCTATGACTAGGAAGGTCAACAGTAAGGAGGGAGACAACCTGAACTATGGACTTTCTGTTGTCCACAGGGCGCAGCCATTTTGATTGTTTACATGTGGTGGCCATTTTGGATATTTAAAGTGACCAAGGGTGCAGCCATTTTGAATGTTTACAAGCAGTGGCCATTTTGGATATTTAAAGTGACTGAGCCATTTTGAATGTCTACAAGTGGTGGCCATTTTGGATATTCAAAGTGACTGAGGGCACAGCCATTTTGAATGTTTACAAGTGGCAACCATTTTGGATTTTAAAGTGATAGCATTCTCATTCCTATTCCAGGGACCTAAGAACAGGCTCTATTTGCCAGGGTTGGCAAAGACACATGAGAAGCTGACAAAAGAAAAGGAGAGAGGTGGTGAGTACTGTCAACTAGTGAATAGAGGAGCACAGCACAGTACCCTGCCTGTATAGATAACATACAAACAAAACAAAGAAAATGAAAATTTTGGTTCAGTCACTCCAACACATAATCACCAATTAAATATAAACACAAAAACGTCACAATGCCTTGGAGACAACAGAGCATCACAGTCCACACAAAGAAGCAAGATAAAGCAGGAGAAACAAGGGACCAGGATACAGACCCAAAACACATCTCTGAGGAAGAAGCA